GTTTGTTTGATGGAGCATTGTAGAATGGCAAGCCTGTAGTGGGAAGAAAAAAAAAGTTATACTGTTATAAGCCATGCTTTGTTGCTTTTCTTGGTGTCAGTGAAAAAAACAGCAGTCATATGTATGAAACATTTAGTTTAATAATATGGTGACTCATAAATCTTACATGTAAAAGAGGCCTAAGGACCTCTGGCTTATCCTGTTGTGTTGGCCCTGTCTTGATGTAAGACATTGATGTGTCTTAAAATAATAAAATAACATTCATTCAAGAAATATTTAATGAAGAATTGCTATACACCAGTAATTGTTCTAGAGATCTAGCAGTAAATATAAGATGGTCAAACTCTTTGCTTCCCTGCATTCTAATAGGAAAGAGAGAGACAGAAAACAAGTAAATTACATAGATTAATTTATCAGTTCCATGGCTTTTATTATGCATTTCTGTTAATTTGTCCATCAACATAGGTCCCTCAGTAACATGGTAAAATGGTCTGATCACTCCAAGTATTATAGACTTTTTAAGTATTGAAATGGAATTGAGGGCAGTGACCTATTAGAAAACAGTCAGCTTCATCAGTGACTGCTTGCTTGTTCTTCTCATATGCATGCTCCCTTGCTGGCCTTTGTCTGTTCTCATGGCACTTCAGCTTTCTTTTAGAAGTAACACAAAAAATATGATTAGGGCTATCATTTTGACTTCAACTCAGAACCACTTTTTAACTTCTTTTAAAAACTTGTGGGGTCATCTCTGGCCAGGTATCTCAGTTGATCAGAGTGTCATACAGATACACCAAAGTTGCAAGTTTGATCCCCAGTCAGGGCACATACAAGAATCAACCAACGAATGCATAAATAAGTAGAACAACAAATTAATGTTTCTCTCTCTCCTTCCCTCACTTCCCCTTCCTTCCTCTCAAAATTTTTTTTAATTAATTAATTAACACAAAATGCAAATATAGCATCTTACAATGACATTATATGTGAAAATTTCAAACAAAACCTGGAATAAGAAGCTTCTGATTTTTTTTGAGAAATGTTTCGTATTTGTCAGTATAAGCCTCTGAGTTCCCAAGGATATCCCTTTCATAACAGACACTATTTAGTAACAATATTTGATTTTAAATCGTTTGATATTTTTCATCTGAGGATAGCTTTTATCATAAAAATTACACTTATAAAAAACAAATTTTCTTGGCAGACAAATTTAAAGCTGTCACTCTGCTGTGTGCATTAAATAAACATGCTACACAATTTTTCTAATTAAAAATATGTAGATTATTTTATTATGCCAGAGTAGAACTCACACCGTTGCTGACGGCATTAAAGATCTTTGTCCACTTTTTTAAATTATCTTACAGAAACTACAGCTTTGTCAAATACAACATTTATAAACCAAATTTTTTTTTTTTTTTTAAAGAAGGAAACACTTTCATTTTTTTCATTTAACCAAATACTCATCATGGTAAGATTGGTCTTTAAAACAGGGAGGCTTGTTATTTTAGTTGCTTTTATTTTCGTTATACTTTTTTTTTTTTTTTTTTTGCTTTTCTTTTTAGAGGTTGAAGGGAGTATGCTCTTTCTGAGAGTTCAGTTAATTGCAGTGAGTAGATCAATATTCAGCAACAAGTCTTTTAAGGCCCTTTTTAACCTTGTGACTTTATGAATCTATATTTACCTTTGCCCCTGCTTTTTTCCCTTGATGACTAGAGCCAGGATCATATCAAAGGTAAACTGGAGAGAGAATTGAGCTAGTGTAGGAGGATGTGATAGAGCATGTAGTAGTGACTCTAAGGGGTGCAGTTACTATTGGTTTCTTCTCCTTTATAGTTTTTTAAAAAAATATTTCATACATTTTATTCATTGTAATTATTTTCATTATGGAGGGGGGGGGAGAAAAGATAAACCCATAGATAAAACACATTTGTAAAAAGTCTCCTTCTTAAGCTTCTTCCTCCAAGTAGATAACCTCTGAATTCTTCATGGTTCAATATATAATTAATAAAAGCAATGATTAAGAAAATAGCTTTTAGCCGGGTCGGGTGCGGCCAGGCCCAGACCAGCAGCTGCCAGGCCCAGAGCAGCCTGGTCCTGAGCAGCCGGGCCCAAAGCAGCCGGGTTGGGTGCAGCCAGGCCCGGAGCAGCCGGATTGGGTGCAGCCAGGCCCGGAGCAGCAGCAGCCAGGCCAGATGCGGCCAGGCCCCGAGCAGCAGCAGCCAAGTCCAGAGCAGCCAGGTCGGGAGCTACCAGGCCCGAAGCGGCCAGGCCCGGAGCAGCAGCTGCCAGGCTGGGAGCGGCCAGGCCCGGAATGGCCGGGCCCGGAGCAGCCGGGCCCAGAGCAGTCGGGTCAGGTGCAGCCAGGCCCGGAGCAGCAGTAGCCAGGCTGGGTGCGGCCAGGCCCGAAGCAGCAGCAACCAGGTCGGGAGCGGCCAGGCCCGGAATGGCCAGGCCCGGAGCAACCGGGCCTACAGCACCCGGGTCAGGTGCAGCCAGGCCCGGAGCAGCAGCAGCCAAGCCTGGAACAGCCAGGTTGGGAGCGGCAGTGACCAGACCCGGACAGCTGGTTGTGGAATGGACCAGAGCAACAGAGGCCAGGCCCGGAGCAGCCAGGCCCAGAACAGCTCGCTCCTCGCCTGACTCCACCCCAAGGCTGCCTCTCAGGCATGGCTCGAAACTTTTGCAGGAACTTGAGGGTCTGCTGAATCAAGTGATGAAGGCTTAGTCTGGATGTGTTGAGTTAGTATAGTGCTGGGGTGTTGATCTGTGAGTGTCTTGTGTGGGGCCTGGATGAGGTTGGTTGATCTATTTGGAAATATCTTTTGTGTGAAGTGTATCCTTGGGCAGGTAGAGGTATTATTGATTTGAGAAAATGCTAAGTAACTGATTTACTATCTGAAAAATTTAAAGTTCTGAAAGTTTAAGGTCTCTTGCCAAAAAGAGGTTTTAAAGCTATCACCTTAATTTTAATGGAGAAAGGGAATGACAAGCCCTTCCCACCCAGAACAGGTAATCCAATTCCAACCAGCAGCTATGTTTAAACAATGTGTCCATTTACACTTGAATGGCTACACCTTTTAATAGCCTAAGAGCAAGTTAACATGTAAACAAGTTTGCTCCCAATTCCCAGGGCAGAAAAAAAACAAGGTTTAAAATTATTAGATTTTAAAATTTATTCTTAGAAGTGTAAAAGTTTATTAATTAAAAAAACAAAAAACAGCAACAACAAAAAAAGGAGATTGAAAAACCTGATAAACAATAATAGCTGTTCATTGTAGTAGAGTCCGCGATATGGGAGGGGAGTGGACTGACTGTTCTAGGGGAAAGGGAGGGAGGAAGAGACTGAACATAAACTGTGCACCTATGGATGAGGACAATGGGGGATAGGAAGGGGGCAGAGGGTGGGGTGGGAACCTGGTGGAGGGGGGAAGAAATGAGGAACCTTTGTAATGATATGAACAATAAAGATTGATTAAAAAAAAAAAAAGGCCTTAGAACAGTGCCCAACACATCGCAAATCAATCTAAGTGGTTGTTGAATAAATGAATGAAGGAATGGATAAAAAAAAAAAAAAGAAAAGTTATTTTTTTAATGGGTTAGAATATAAGGCTTATGTTTATTGACTCATACAAGCAGTTGTTTTGTTTTGTTTTTTAAGAGAGTTTTCCTTGGTGGCAAGATGGAATTTAAGGTAGACATTTTATGTCCCTTAAGGTGGGACAGTCTATTGACTTTTGTATCCTTAGTTCCAAAAATATCACCAGCCCATACTAGGTGCTCATAACTGGGCTGAACCCAATACCCATTCTTCTTCTTCTTCTTTTCTTTTATTTATTTTTTAATCCTTACCAGAAGATTAAATAACTTGCTAACTTTTCCATTGCTTTCCTGGAGCTTATACTCTAAAGGAGAGGAGAGAGACAGAAAACAAATAAATTACATGGTTTAATTTCTCAGTCCCTATCTTTTCCATTGATTTTCAAAGAGAGTGGAAGGAAGAGGGAGAGAAAGAAAGAAACATTGATGTGAGAGAGATACACCGACTGGTGGCCTCCCCTTGGTGCCCTGACCAGGCTAGGGATTGCCGTTGAGCCTGCAATTGAGGTATTTGCCCTTGACCAGAATAGAACCTAGGACCCTTCAGTTTGGGGGTCAGTGCTCTATCCACTGAGCCAAACTAGCAAAGGCCCAATCAATACCCATTCTTAAGGAAGTTGGAAATAAGATAAGCTCAAGCAAAAAGAGTGAATTTTTTATGTGTTCTTTTTCAGTTACTCTCCGAAGTATTCCTTTTCAGAAAGTGTGAAAATGTTTTTATGCGTAATATATTGTAACCACAAACACTGACTTTTATTTCAGAGTTGGAGAAAATGAGATTGATGTTTCACATAATTGTAAAATGCCAAAAATAAGTAGAACTGAAATGAGTTAAAGCCCAGTGTTCAGAAAGGCCAAGTAAAAGCTTCAGATCAACGGTGGCTATAATTGAAAGGATCCAAATAAGTATTTAAAACCATCCCTGCTGGGACTGCTAGGATTTCTGAATTTCAAATTGGCATTTTATGTTTGACAAGGTGACATTGTATAAGAAATGTATTATAAAACACTGCTGTACAATAGGAAAATGATTGAATGTAAATATTTCAAGATGTGGACCACTGTTCAAATGTTATCATAAATCTTTGCCATTGTTTTAGGGGATAACTCTTCATGCATATATGAGATGAATTGATAGAGCTAGTTCTTTGAAGGGAAATCTTCAGCAAGTTTCTGCCTCTTTTACCACTACTTTGATTTGACAAAAAAAGTATTCTTTAAATCTTTGCCATATTATTATATGCTTATTGTTAAATAAGTGGGGAAAAGCTTTTTTTTTTTTTTTTTTTTTTTAATACATCTGGCATTGCTTTGTCCTCTTCATTGAAATATCACATGTGAAATTAGAATGGGCTGAAACAATTGGCACTCTTGAAAAGTGAGGCTAACTGTCCTTCTATTCCTTGCAGGTTTGGAAGGTTTACAGTGGCTGCTCTTCAGTCCAAAGTAGAACAGTATGAACGTGAAACCAATCGCCTCAAAAAAGCCCTGGAACGAAGTGATAAGTATATAGAGGAACTAGAATCTCAAATTGCACAGCTAAAAAATTCAAGTGAAGAGAAGGAAGCTATGAATTCCATTTGCCAGAGAGCACTTCCTACAGATGGCACGGGGTGCAAAGGCAGCGAGGAGGATATGGCATCCACAAATCAAGGCGATGGTGCCAGAAAGCAGCTTAGCTCTTCCACCCCAAGCTCCCACCTGACACAACCTTCTAACAGTTCCGCCCGGCAGGAAAGCACCAACAAAGCAGAACTAAATTGTTCCAAGAACAAAGACCTATATCAAAAACAGGTGGAAATAATGTTAGGTGTAACTGATGCCAGTATGGATACTTATTTGGAAGGAGAATGGGGTAATAAGCCAACTGACAGTACACCCTACAAAGATGAACTTTATGAACTTCCAGCTCCTTGCACTCCTTTGTCCCTTAGTTGCCTTCAGCTCAGCACTCCAGAGAATAGAGAGAGCCCTATGGCCAAAGTGGGAAGTTCCAAAAAGCACTCAAACCATCTCAGAAAATTGGTGTTTGATGATTTTTGTGATTCTACAAATGTTTGTAATAAAGATTCTTCAGAAGATGATAAAAGTGAAAGTGAAAAGAAATCAGAACGTTTTACTTCCCCAAAGACTGGGTTTTGGGATTGTTGTTCCACAAGCTATGCCCAAAGCTTGGATTTTGAAAACACAGAGGACAACACGATAGCAAATTCTGTCGGACAGATTTCTTCAAAACTGAGTGAGAAATCGGCCTCATGTTTATCTAAGAGGCTGAATTCTATTCGCTCTTCTGAAATGAATCGGACAAGAACATCCAGCGAAGCCTCAATGGACGCAGCTTACCTTGACAAAATCTCTGAGCTGGACTCAATGATGTCTGAGTCGGACAACAGTAAAAGCCCTTGTAATAACGGTTTTAAGTCAGTGGATTTGGAAGGGTTATCAAAGTCATCTCAAGGCAGTGAATTTCTTGAGGAACCAGATAAATTGGAAGAACGAACTAAGCCAAACCTTTCCAAAGGTTCTCTAACTTCTGATCAGTTAGAAAATGGAAATGAATGGAAATCATCTTCTTTTTTCCTCCTCTCTCCATCTGACCAAGAAATGAGTGAAGAATTTTCGGTCCATCCCAGTTCTAACTTGGGAACTAATGAACTCAAACCCCCAAGCTGCTTATTTCAAACTGAGTTTTCCCAGGATGTTTTGTTAAGCAGTTCACATAGGCTGTTTGAAGATCAAAGGTTCGGGTCATCTTTGTTTAAGATGTCCTCAGAGATGCATGGTCTTCCTAACCACCTTCAGTCTCCTTGGTCTACTTCTTTTGTGCCTGAAAAGAAGAATAAAAATGCGAATCAGTCAACAAAAAGAAAAATCCAGAGCAGCCTTTCCAATGCTAGCCCATCAAAAGCAACTAAAAGTTGATCCATTAGGAAGGTGCCATTTATGTTTTTGTCCAGAGAGGAATACAAGTTTTTAAAGTTATCTTTTTCCCCCTCATAAAAGTTCTGTACAATTTTGAATTGGTAATCTTTAGTCAACTATCAAGTCAGAATGGTAGATTAGCTTATACCAGAATACTTTTGTTCATTTTGAAGAGTTTCTTCATTTTCAAATGGGAATATTTTTTTTACCAGAAGGTAGACAGGTTTCTTTTAAATGAATATTATTTGTATCTGATTTGGGTATATTTTGTTTTGAATCTTGATTTAACTATTAGATACAATGGGCTATTAATGAGCCTCAGTTATCTTCAGAACTAGGATTTTTTTAAATAAAACTGTGTTGTCTACACACTGCTCATGACACTTGAGTTTCTTTAAAAGATTTTCCTAGGGTGGACATTATTTTGCCCCCTTTTATTTATGTCTAGTAGTGGCCTTTTATGCAAGGCCATCATGGATTAATAGCACTCTAACCTTAGACCAATATTAAATTCTTTTTTAGATTTTGTGTGTATGTGTTTTTAATATTGTGTTTTGTTCAGTTTTTGTAAAAACATTTTGCTAGTATGAAAGGATACATTTCTATCTGAAAATATTTGTTTTATGTCAGATAACTTTCTTTTGTTCATCTTTTTGTGTGTAGTGAAAAATCAAAAAATTGAGCCTACTTTGGAAAGAAGGCATGGAACAGTTGGGTTTGGAGGAGCCTAAACATGGTAGCCTCATTGTTCCAGATAGACAGGTGCAAAAGCACTCACAAATTCTGGATCCACTCGTGCGGATCTGCCAGGGAAGCTTTTTTGGAATGATCAAGTTGTTGTTTGCATGTTACTACTATTCTTTGTAAAAACTCTGTGCATGGTAGCATTCTTGCTTGCACTGTTTTTTCTTAAGAAAAAGGTGTTTCAGTTGGCTAATGGAATGTCTTCTAAGTAGGACATTATTTTTTTTAATGAATAGTGTTAGGGTATGAATAGGTGAGCTAAAGCACAATTTATAATTTAGGATCTGAAAAAGTTTGCTCTCAACATGTTTGGTATAGCTATATAGGCTTTTAAAAATGGTTTAATATGCTAGTGACTTGCTTAAAGTGCACTGAACATTTTACATTGATATCATACTATTTTATGTTTATACTGCATGCTTTTCTATGTGAATTGAATAAAGGTTGCTATCGCATTGTAATCCTTAATATTGTCTCAGATTTTGAATTAGCCTGTAAAGATCAGGAAAACTTATCATTTTTAATGGCTTTTACAATATAAGGGTTGAAAAACTGACCTGTGGACCAAATCTGGCCTTCATCTGTTTTTGTGAAAGGCCTATGATCTAAAATGAGTTTTTATATTTTTTAATGTTTTTTTTTAATGCAAGGAATATTCCATAACACAGGAAAGAAATAAGTAATTCGAATTCCAGTGTTTCTGTATAAAGTCTTATTAGAACACAGCTACTTATCTGTGTACATATTGTCTATGGCTGCTTTTGCACTGCAGTGGCAGAGTGGAGTAGTTGCAACAGAGACCATATGTCTCACAAAGCCTAAAATACAGAAAAACTTGCTGACCACTGTCATTGAGACTCAGGATTCAACGAAACCATAAAAGTAAAACAAATCACTTCTATGACTTGGAGAATCATGCCCTCCATTTTTAGAGGTAATAAGCCAAAATAAAAATTTTAAAGAGCTAATATAAAGCATTTTTTAATTTTATCACACATATTTCCCCAAAAAGTATTTATGTATCATTTTGTCTTTCTGATATGTTAAAAGCTAATGGATACTTTCAGAGATATTAGCAGTGAAAGTACCTTTGACAATGTGGTTATACATTTAAAATTTTATTAAATGTAGAAATCTAAATGTTTTCTGAATAGAATATAAATTTGGGGGTAAGCCTCTTATTCTGTCTGTAACTTTTCTGCGTCATGAATGTATCAGTTTTCAATCCAAATATATACTGACACTGTGCAATGGAATCCAGTGTGTAACCTGATTTACTAATGCCTATCTACAATAAGAGTGTCTATATTGGACCAGAGTACTTCCCAGCCACTTTAGAAACACCACTTCATTCTTCCCAAAACAATATTTCATATATTAAATTATTCAAATCTGTAAATTTCTCAATTGAAGGGTTTTATTTTAAATACAATCTCATTTGTCCTCTTTACCATAATCTATATCATGACAAATATGGTGGTCTTATATTTTCAAATATATTTCTTATGTACACAAACTAAAAAACAACAGCCATCTTTTATTGAATTCAAGTAATTTGCTAACCTATCTCATAATCCTCTTTTCAAATTCTGTGAGCCAACTGTTATCCCCAGTTATAAGTGAATTGAGGATTAGTGGTCAAATGCATCTGGAATGGGATAGAATTGTTTTGCAGCTGAACCTCTAACTCCAGAGCTTGTACTCTTCCTCCCTTATGCATGGGAGTTCACATTTCTAGGCCAAAGAATGAGTGGATATGAAATTTCCAAGGATCCTTTTAAACATGTTTTAGAAGTATTAGTGGTTTTTTCCCCCAAAATAAAATTTAATTCCTGCCTTTGTTCCTGGATATGACTCTGCTACTAAATGGAAGCTCAATGATGGGAGTGTGTATGTGCCACTTTTAAGTTTATAAACATTCACATTAACTCTGACACATGAATTTAAAAATTAAGGCTATGCTAGAAAAAGATGCACTAATGATTTTATTAGTTCATGTCTTTATAAAAACAGCATCTGTTGACTGCTCATCTTTCTAAAATGCTATTCAGTGTGAATGCTAGTTTTTTTTTTCTTTACATGACCTTTAGCTTTCATCTTTTAATTTTCAAAATCTAATCCCATTTAAAGCAAGTCTTTTTTCCTGTTTTAATGAATCAACTGAGACCAAAACTCAAAATGGTAGACCCTTAATTTCAAATCTACTTTGTTTTTCTCTAAACTCTTTTTCATTTACCTTGGTTTGAACCAACTGTAGGTAACACTGAAAAAGGGAAGAACTTTGATCTTGAACCCTAAAATGTTTTTATATACTTCAATACTTTCAGTTTTTAAAATATATACACTAGATTTTTTTTCCCTTTGCTTTTGACCCTGTGAATATTTGAGAACATCAGATTAACAGTTTAACTTTATTGAATGTGGCCTATTAGATTAGAGGGGTTTCCCAAGGCCTCCTAAGAAGGTCTTTCATTCCTATTTGTGGGAGTCCTACAGCATACATAGTCTTTGCCCATCATGATGTAACCTGATCCTTATAATACTTGGCAGAGAGAAAACCTTTTAAGCAATGATCTCAGAGTGCATAGTGAACATTTATTGCCTAATTCTCGGAACCCTACTCTGAGTGAGGAAGCATCTGTTAAATGCAGATTTCTTTTGAGAACTCATCTGGAACTCAGGCGAGAGTGATTTTGTATTATATGACAGGCAGGCTAGAATACCTTGAATTGAAGCTATACTTCTTGAAAGATGGAAGGTTCCTGGATCTGCTGTGTTTTAACGGGGAGCAGACTGGATTAGGCAAGTGTGTAGAATCATGGGCCATCCGTGACACTTATAATTTGGGAGGTGGAAAGATCCAATCCCTAAGGACAAGAATTTCACATAGGTATTTACTGAGACTTTCCGTGAGGAGGGAGGACCTAGTTCTGCTCCATTATAATTCTTAACAACATACCCATTGGTGAATGGAAAAGTTTTGTTGGAGAGAGTGTGGAGCCAAGAGGAAACCGGATGGCTTCACGTTGGTACTATTTGTACTGGGTCTTTAAGGATGAATAATAGTTAAGTGTGGAAAGAGGGCATTTCCTGCTGGATGGGACGCCTATTTAGCCTACTCCTGGAAGAGGTGCAGAAGGAACCATTCTCTAGGGTCAGGGTTCCCGACTGAAAAAGGTTTCCAGATGCTCCAGCCTGATCTTGCAAGTTTGCCTTTGCCCCGCCTTCTCCCTCTGAGCATCCCCGGAGACTCCAGGCTTGCCCTCGCCGCTAGGGCCGGCGGCCGCCTGATGGCGAGACAGTGACTCCCTGGGCGCTGAGAGGCTCAGGAGGTGGCTGGACCGGCCCATCATCTGTCCATTAAGCCGAGGCTCGGCGCTCCGAAGGCCGGAAGGCGCGACCTCGCTTCACTCACGGGTCATCTTTGTGCGGGGGTAGGGGTGGGTGGAGGCGGGGAAGAGCTGGCCTTCGGACCGGGCCCTGAGCCTTCTTTCCTCCCCGCGGTTCCAGCCTTCCCGGATCCCCGCACCCAGTACCGCTTCCCCCTCCTCCAAACCTGCCCAGCGGGAGCACAGACGCGCGGGGCGCGCCCCCTGGGCCGGGATTCCCAGCGCCTCGGAAGGCGCTCGCTCTCCGCGGGTCCCGCCCCGGTCCCACCGGGAGAAACGACTGGCTCCGCGGTCCCCTTTATAATTTTATTACCACGCACGGACCCGGCGATGAAGACGCCACACCAACAAAGAGTTTTCCTTCCCACCTTAACCTTGCACACAATCCTTTAACAAATTAATTAATCCTAATGAATTAACACTTCATTTATTTAAACGCGCTACAGTCCATGAATTAAATTTTCATGCAGTGATTAAAGGCTGTTGAAATATGCATGATTTCGTTAAAATTTTATAATAAATCAGGGCAATGTGTTACATGACAAGGCAAACTATTTCCCAGTCCCCCTCGCAAGGGGCTTTGATGTGTGCGGGCGGCGGCGGGGAGGAGGGGTGGCGGGCGTCGGGACCCAGCTCCTCGGACCCAGCTCCTCACTCCGGCGTGTGGACTCGCGGCTGGGCGCTTCCCTCCTTTGGGGGATCCCGCTCCTGCAGGCAGAGCTGTGCCTGCGGAGGGCAGCGCAGCCCGCCCCTCGGCCCCGGAAACGGCCCTGACGGCCCGGCTGGGAGTCCGCTGCTGGTCACTGGCGCCGGCGGAGCTCCCTCCAGCCCGGGAGGGCGCGTCCGGGTCGCCGCTGCGGGCGAGGC